CAATAAAGTACCAAACTTAAGGCTAGTATCATTTGAGACATAATAATCTCCCACGCTAATAAAGTTCATGGTCTTGAAGTCGGACTGGCGGTTTACGTGCCCTTCCTGATCGTCTTACGGGCTCGGGTTGTCGTTCGGCGTCCTGTTGTGGATGTACCACCTCCTGTCTTTCGGCTTGTTGCTGTGGAGCTATGTGCGGAGCTACTCGACGCTCGCTGATTATCTCGTTTGGTAGTTTCTGTTTTCTCTCTATTACCGTAGTTTCTTTGCGATCCTCGACGTTAGTTACGCTTGATTTATAAAGTTGGTTTATGTGTCTCTTGAGGGTATAGCCATTATCTAATTCAACTTGATAATGTAACTTCCCGGACTTTTCTGTAACTACGCCGAATTTCCATGTTCCATAGGTGACGACGTTGCTTCGCCGTAGTGTACGGGTTTAATAGCATCTAACCTGGTTCGAGTTTTCCGCCCCAGGTAAATTTCCGCGGGAGTTTTGTTATTTTCTAAAGGTGTGATTCGATAACGGCTTACAATTTCTTGGACCTTCTTGCGCATTGGTATGTTAACGTGCTGCATTGCTTCGAGTTTGTTCTTCAGCGTTTGGATGTGTCTTTCCGCTAGACCGTTCGTAGCTGGGTGTCCTGGTGCGATAAATTTTTGAACGATGCCGTTACTTTGGCAGAATAATCTGAACGATTTGCTTTGAAAAATTGTAGCGTTGTCGGAGACTAGCACTTGTGGCAGTCCATGTGTTGAAAATATATCTTCTAATAAATCGATCGTGCTCTCGGACGTGGGTGCATTCTTGATTACCCTTATCTCCGGCCATTTTGATTTTGCGTCGATGAGAACGACGAAAAAATGATTTTGAAATGGACCAGCATAGTCCATGTGAACCCTTTCAAAATTTTCTTGCGGCTGTTCCCAACTATGAGTGGTTATTTGTGCTGGATCCTTTCGGACCATCGCGCAGTCATGGCACGATTTTACTAAGTTTTCTATATCTGCATCGATGCCTTTCCAGTAGCAATATCGCCGAGCCATTTGTTTCATTTTCACGATTCCCAAATGTGTGTAGTGCAACTCTTTTAGGATTTCGCCACGCAGGGACTTTGGAATCATTACCCTTTGGCCCTTCAATACAATATCACTTTGTATGGTGTATTCCGGATCTTGAATTTTACCATTTATCAATTTCGTTCTCAATTCAGCTAGCTCCGGGTCATTTCCGGTTTCTTTTGCAATAGATATTGCCGTAACTATGTTGGTGGATATTGTATTTACTGTTTCTATTTGTATTGCATTCACTTCGTCATCTAGAAAATATGTGAATCTATTCGACGAGTCTTTTGCTGGTGCTCTAGACAAACAATCGACGTGTGTAATCAGTTCTGATTCCCGATGCTTCATTTTATAATTAAAACCTTGAAGAAAAGAGGCGTAACGTAGTAGTCGAGCCGATGTCATTGCCGGAATTTTTTCGCTCTGATGCAGAATTCGAGAAAGGGGTCGATTATCTGTGACTAATGTAAATTCTCTTGCATACAAATATTGAAAAAATTTGTCAACTGCGAATATTATTGCTAGCGCTTCGCGATCTAACTGACTATAATTTTGTTCTGCTTTAGTTAACGCTCGTGAGATAAATGATACCGGTCATTCGACCCCATTTTCTTCATGCGCCAGCACTGCCACAATGCCCGTAGGGCTAGCATCACACGTCAAAACCACAGGCAAATCTGCATCATACGGCCTCAAAACTCTATCGGTTAGAATTTCGCGCTTAAGTCTTTCGAACGAGGATTGACATTCCTCGGACCATTTAAATTTTGTATTTTTGGATAGTAGCTTCCTCAAAGGGTAAGTAATAGTTGATAGATCTGGAATGAACCGCGAGTAATACGTTATCATTCCCAAGAACCTTCTCAGATCATCAGGGCTCTTTGGGGTCGGAATATCGCGAATGGCTTTTACTTTTTCCGGACATTTTGTGATTTTATTGTATTCTATCGTATACCCCAAATACTGTATTCTTTCTCTATAGAACTGGCATTTATCTCTGTTAACGTGCAAGTTGTATTCTTTCAACTTATCTAGGCACTTCGTTAGCCTTTCTTCGCATTCTTGTTTGGTTTTCGCGAATACAATAATATCATCAAAATATGATGATGTTCCTGGCAAATCACGTAAGATTTGGTCTAAGATACAGTTAAATTCGCTCGGCGCGGTCTTAACCCCGAACGCGAGACGATTCATGCGATATGTGCCTCTGTGTGTTGATATTGTTTGTATGTTCTTACTTTCTTCATCAACCTTTACGTGCAGGTACGCTTTATACAGGTCGACCTTACAGAAGTATTTGCAACCCTTTAGGGTATTCAGTATTTCGTCAACTCTTTTGATTGGGTAGTGAGCTGGCTCTAATTGTGGGTTGACGGCTATTTTGTAGTCGACGCACAGACGGACCTTGCCGTTCGGTTTTGGAATAACCACCAATGGTGAACCCCAGTTGCTGGTATTCACTTTCGTGACAATGCCATCGCGCTCCCATTCGTCGAGCTCTTCCTCGACCTTATCTCTTAGTGCGAAAGGTACTTGTCGCTCTCTCAAAAATACAGGTTTTGCTCCTGGTACCAACTTCAGTGAGCATGAAATGTTCGGTATGCACCCCACTTTTTGTTCAAATACTTCCGGATATTTTGTTACTAGACTTTCAATAGAATTTATGTTGCATAGAGTTTTTGCCTTTACTTGTTTATCAACATCTTCTAGCTTGATACCTAGCTTTCGAATCCAAACTCGACCTAAGAGAGGCGTATGCCTAGCGGATACCACATACAGATCTACTATTGACTTATTGTTTTTGTACTCTACCGTTACTTTTGCTACTCCTTTTGGTAGAAAAATTTCTCCGGTATACGAACGGAAAGCGACGTTCGACTTCTGTAGGTTTACATTCAGTTTCAGTTTATTGAAATCATTTTCTGGTAATAAGGTGTACCCGGCCCCTGAATCAACTTCGAACTTTTGGCTTTTTCCCTCTATGAGTACTTTTGCATAGAATTTGTCTATTTCTCTCTTTGATATTTCTGCATTTTTGTATATGTCTATAACTTTGTGGATATCCGCGGTATCTTCTGAAAATTCACTTTCCGAATCTGTAACTTTATTCGTTTGTTTTAGATCTTTTCTTTGCTTCATTTTGTATTGTATACATACGTCTTTTACATGCCCTGTTTTGTGACAGTATTCACAGTTTAGTTTGTTTTTGTTCATTTTGCAGTTCTTTGTCAAATGGTTTTGGCGCGCGCATCTCAAGCACCTATTTTCTAACCCTAATTCCTTGTATTTATTTCGCTTCACTTTATCGCCTTTGCTTTTAGTTCTAACCTGTTTAACATCACTGGGGCCGGTTCCCGATGCTATTTCTTGACTATCAATTTTCGCTGCTTCCAGAGCTGAAGCTCGCTCAACTAACTTAGTAAAATTGTCTCCAGGGTTTTGTAGTAGTTGTTCTCTAATGTGACTATCGCTCAACCCTCGTATGAATTGCGCGCGTAAAAATAAGTTTGCCACTGATTTGCTAGCTTTTTTTTTGTAATTGAGCTGAAAATTCTGCGATTGTCTGGCCTTCGTTCTGGATTTCAGATAAGAATCGATGTTGTTCTACCAGAACATTCTTTCTGACATTAAAATGATTTTCAAGTGACTTAATGACCTCGGCATATTGCAATTCGCTAATTATTCGTGGCGCTGCTAACGTCACTAGAAGTGCATAATTCGATGCCCCAATATATTGCAATTAAATTCCTCGAATGTGGTTAACATGGTGACGCTCGTGCTCGCTGCTCCAACATTTGCTTGTTGCTGCATTGCTGTTGTCATGGACGACAATGCTGTTAAAAGACTGCTTAGCTGCTCAGAATCCATCTTGGTGTGCCAAGTTTTGCTTTCCTCTCGTCGCCAACTATTATGTTCGGTTTAATATGTACTTTATTACACGAAACTATAGATC